GCCAGTCATTGGCGTTTCTCAGACTCAACGTGCTAGGTCCTAAACGCCTAACATTAAAGTCTCCCTTTGTGTGGTAATACGAGTTGGCACTTTCTTGGCTACCCGTATTCCACTCTCTTTGCGTTCTGGTCAAACCTATAAAAGTTAGGGCCAAAGCCAAAATCCCCTCTCGATTCTCCCAATGAACGAGAGGTCCACCTTCAAATCGAGCGATCAAACTTTCCGACAGTTAGGTCGTCTCAAACCTTCGTACAGTTAGGGCCACAGTCAAAATCTCCTCTCGATTCCCCCAATGAACGAGAGGTCCACTTCCAAATCGGGTAATCAAACCTTCCGACAGTTAGGGTTATCCGAATTGTTACGATTCTCGGAGTGGAGATCCCACTCTTAGTTTCATCCTTCCGGATTCTGAGGGTGGAGATCCCACCTCGAGTTTCCTTTCCAGCTGTAGATAGAATATAAAATTCTTCCTCTTCAGCACCGGGAGATAGAATATAAAATTCTTCCTCTCCTCGGACCTTTCCGATGCTCGGAGTGGAGAACCCACTCCCAGTTCATCATTCCGGATTCTGGGGGTGGGGGATCCCACCTCAAGTTCCCTTTCCAGCTGTAGATAGAATATAAAATTCTTCCTCTTCAGCACCGGGAGATAGAATATAAAATTCTTCCTCTCCCGTTTCTCAATCTGTCTTTGCTTTTAGAAAAGACACGATTGTCAAATCCGGGTACTCGATGCACGGGGAATTTCATCCCGAAGCCTAAGCAGGGATAAGTCAACGCCTAACACGCGTTGCCGGGTAGCCTATTCCCGTAACAATAGCAAAGCCTATGTATTCAAAATCATAGCATTAAGTCTAAGAGAAGCAATTCTCTTAGCACAACGTTACATGTGAAACGGGTTTTAAATAATTCACATGCTAGCCCGATTCAAACGGTAATCGGTAAAGGCACATCAAACCCGTTGATGGCTGGGGGTTTGCCAAAAATCCCAAAGCCTATGTCTAACACACATGGCCGGTTAGTCTTTGACCGTAAAAAGGACAAAAGACCACATATTCAACATTGTGGCAGGTTGTTATTAATAACACCATAATCCGTGCCTCACACGCACGGGGAATTTTATCCTGAATCCTAAGTAAGGATAAGTCAGCGCCTAACACGCGTTGCCGGGTAGTCTATTCCCGTGAGAAAGACGAAGTCTACGTATTCAATATCGTAGCACTAAAAGGGTTAACTCTTTTAGCTTAAACGTCACATAGGAGCGGACTTAAACAATCCGCATGCTAGCCCGACTCAAACGGTAGTCGGTAAAGGCTAATCAAATCCGTTGAAGGCTGGGGATTAGCCAAAAATCCTAAAGTCAACGCCTAACACGCGTCGCCGGGTAGTCTATTCCCGTGAGAAAGACGAAGTCTACGTATTCAATATCGTAGCACTAAGAGCGTTAACTCTCTTAGCACAACGTCACATGCGGAACGGACTTAAACAATCCGCATGCTAGCCCGACTCAAACGGTAGTCGGTAAAGGCTAATCAAATCCGTTGATGGCTGAGGATTTGCCAAAAATTCTATAACTGCGAGTCATTGACGCATCAACTCCCCTAGTTGGTCTCGTGACTCGAGCACCCAACAAATTCGGGACAAAATCCACACATGCAGATGAATCAACTTTAACAGTTGGTCCTGCAACCCCAACATTCGGGACCGCGATGCTCCAATACCTTAAGAGCTTAAACTGTGTATACTCCAGCAAACGTACGAGTATAAACTGTGTTAATGGCGATTTGTAAACCCTAGGGACAACGCCGGTCAACGCGTAACCCTAGGTCAACGCCAAGCAACGCGTTGCAACAAAAGTCAACGTTCGACGATTCAAACCCTAGGGCACGTCGAGTCAGGATATTCTTGAGCAGGAACCAGATGGACATGCAAAACAATTCTACAGTCTTTTAGGTGACTCCGAGAAACCTTTGTATGAAGGCTCTAAATGTTCAAAGTTATCTGCTTTAGTGAAACTACTTCACATAAAGAGCCTAAATAGGTGGAGTAATAAATCATTCTCAATGTTGCTCCAGTTTTTGAATGAGGAGCTATTGCCAGGGGAATCAACACTGCCTAATTCGTATGACGAGGCCAAAAAATTAATCCGAGACCTTGGCCTATCATATGAAAAAATTGATTCGTGTCCATTCTCTTGCATGCTGTTTTGGAAAAATGAAGAAGGTCTTGATACGTGTCAGAGATGTGGTGCTTCTAGATGGAAACTTGATAAACATGGAAAAGAGATCAAGCGAAAGGCAAATGGTAAAAAAATACCACAAAAGACATTGCGATATTTTCCTCTTAAGCCACGATTGCAAAGGCTTTACATGTCTTCGAAGACAGCTTCTGATATGAGATGGCACCATGAAAGACAAGTTGAGGACGGAGTGATGAGGCATCCAGCTGACTCTAAGGCTTGGAAAAACTTTAATGAGCTACATGAAAGCTTTGCCGAAGAGCCCCGAAATGTTAGGCTCGGTCTTGCAAGTGATGGTTTCCAACCTTTCACAAATTCAAAAGTTTCTTATAGCATATGGCCCGTTTTACTTGTACCATATAACTTACCACCATGGATGTGCATGAAGCAATCTAATTTTATTTTATCTATGCTCATTCCTGGTCCAACTGGTCCTGGAGATGCTATTGACACCTACTTACAACCATTGATAGAAGAACTAAAGGAGTTGTGGGCCTCAGGCGTTCGAACATATGATGTATCTCTGAGACAGAATTTCATTTTACGTGCAGCACTAATTTGGACCATTAATGATTTTCCTGCTTATGCAAATTTATCTGGATGGAGCACTAAGGGGAAATTAGCATGTCCTTGTTGTAATAAGCACACTCACTCTATCAGGTTAAAATATGGAGGCAAGCAGAGCTATATGGGGCATCGTCGCTATCTTGATGAAAATCACAGTTGGAGAAAGGATAAGAAATCATTTGATGGCACTAGGGAGAGAGGGTATGCAGCGCCGAAGCTGACCGGAGATGACATCCTTAAGCAGGTGGAAGATCTTATAGGGATCACCTTGACCAATCATCCAGAGAAGAAAATTAAAATATCACACGAAAGACGGGGAGATAATTGGAATAAAAAAAGTATTTTTTTTGATTTGCCATATTGGAGAACTCTCTTATTGCGACATAATTTAGATGTCATGCATATTGAGAAGAATATTTGTGATAGTCTGCTGGGAACAATCATGAACATTAAAGGAAAGACAAAGGATAATATCAAAGCCCGTCTCGATTTACAAGCAATGAGTTTAAAACCGGAGTTACATCCAATCCAGAGAGGAGATAAACTTGTGATGCCAGCAGCTTGTTATACTTTATCCCAAGAAGAGCAAAGCAAATTTTGTCGATTTCTAAAGGAGTTAAAAGTTCCAGATGGATTTTCATCCAATATTTCTCAATGTGTAAATCTTAAAGAGCGTAAGATTTTGGGGTTAAAGAGTCATGACTGTCACGTTCTTTTGCAGCGCTTGATTCCTGTATCGATTCGTGGCCTTCTTCATGCAAAAGTGTGTGAAGCAATTATTGAACTTTCCATATTCTTCACTATATTATGTGCCAAGACATTAAGGGTGGATGAACTTAAGCAAATTGATGAGCAGATTCCACTTACGTTATGTAAGCTTGAGAAGATTTTTCCACCTTCAATTTTTGATGTTATGCTGCATTTAGTAGTTCATTTAGCATCTGAAGCCATACTTGGAGGGCCTGTTCGATTTCGATGGATGTACCCAGTGGAGCGTCAGCTTTATACTTATAAGTCATATATCAGAAATAGGGCACGTCCAGAAGGGTCAATTGCTGAAGGATATATAGCAGATGAATGCATGACTTTTTGCTCAAGATATCTAAAAGGCTTCGAGACAAAGTTTAATCGCCTTGAAAGAAATTATGAAGATGACAATAGAGAATGTAATGAAGCACAACTATCTATTTTCAGACATAGTGGGCGGGCATTGGGTGCTGCCACCACCCGCTACCTTGATGAACGTGAGTGGTTGCAAGCTCATATTTATGTTCTAAAGAACTGTGATGAAGTGCAACCACACATTGAGTAAGTCACTAAAGTTTAAGATTCTACTAATAAATTTACTATAGTTAGTCAACGTTAATCATATTTATGATATTTTAATGTAGGGACTACAATGAATTCGTGAGAGAACCCACAAATCACTATGATGATAAAGATTGGGATAAGAACTTTATCGAGTGGTTCCAAGCTCTAGTACGTATATATCTTGCCTTATTTTTTAAATATCTTGATTGGTTCATTTTATTACATGTTCCATGACTTGATCATATTTTGGTTTTGTTTAGGTTTATCAGAGTTATCGAGAAGATGATGACTTACTTTCACTATCTCGTGGTCCAAGTAAGATTGTTAAATGTTTTACTGGATTTGTCATAAATGGACATCGATTTCATACAGAAAGTCGAGATAATTGTTTGTCAACTCAAAGTAGTGGGGTTGCAGTTGTTGGTGATGCTGGTGATGGTGGAGATATAGATTATTATGGTGCTTTGGTTGAAGTTGTCGAATTAGAGTATCCTGGTAGAAGAAAGGTTGTTCTATTTCGTTGTAAATGGTGGGATGTGCACGGCAAAGGAAAAGGGACCGCTTTGAAAGAAGACAAATATGGATTTATCAGTATTAACTGCCGACACTTGCTAAAGACGAATGACCACTTTATACTTGCTGGCCAAGCATCACAAGTTTTTTATGTTGAGGATATTGCCAATGAAGGTTGGCATGTAGTTCTTAAAGCACAACCCCGTGATTCCTATGATATGCCACCAGATACAGATGATTGTGGGATAACAGACGATGGAGTTGAAGCTTATTTGCAAGATGAATCATTTGATGCTCAGGCTATTGCATCAACATCATTGGAAGATGATTATATCAATTTGAGAAGGAGTGATATTGATCCAATTATTGTAAATTCGGTCTCAACTTCAAAAAAGAGGAAAAAGACTCAAGCAGAGAATTAGAACGCTTTAATTAAAGAATAGAACACAAATGATATTGTGTTATTGAGATAAAATTTAAGTTGTATCTTCACTATAACTATTCCTTTTTTAGACATATGATGTTCTTTTCTTCATATTTTGGATGTGGCTTTGACATTGCAGCAAGTGCTTCTACATTAGTGTATTATGTATTTATTGTTATGCTTGTCCTTCGTGATATCTTCTTCTTTTATTCATTTCTCTTTTGATATTTGTTTCATACATAGTGTGTAATACTTAAATTCCTTTTCATAGCAGGAAAATGAAAACTCAAGAAGTCACTTCCAAAAGCAAAAAGGCACAATTTCTAGCACCCAGGTCATTAATTAGGAAGCGACTTCAAGCAATTGCAGAAAATTCATTAAGAAGGGAACAACTCCGTACTTGTCATGACAAGAACTTGAATATTCAAAATCCAATACAAGATCAAAATATGGGTACAAATTTTAGTGCTGATTCAGAAAACTTTGAAGAGGAGAATTTTGCACAAAATCGCAGGAGAAGTGCAAATACTAACAATGAAGAGAATGATGATTCTGCAGGTTGATGAGACTTAAAATTTATTATTATTTGTTTTTATCTTTCAATTTATTTTTTATGATTGGATTAATAATTGCTCAATTTTTACAGAATCAAATAATCATCGAGTGCAAAGTGATGATGTAATACTAAATGAATCTCGACAAGAAGGTATATTCTTTATTAATTACAAGAAGAAATATTTTTATCAATTTCTTTAACTATATCTTGTTTCTAACATATGATATGATGTATGCAGCTGATAATTCTCAAAGGAAGAAAAATCCACCTCGTGGTAGTAATAAGTGTCTAAAGTTGAATAATTTGTCACATGGGGAGAAAAAAATCATTACTTTTTATCAGAATAGAGCTATTGAACCAGAATTTTCACGATATCTTGGAATTATTATTCGAGATAGAAATATTTGCCCAGTAGCTGTTGAGAATTGGGCCAAAATACCACAACAAAATAAAGATCATATGTGGGCATCCATTAAGGTACATTGAAAATTAATTTTTTACAATTGGTTTTTAATTCTTATAAATTAAATTTTGATTCAAATTTGATATAGGATAAATTTGATGCTGATGACATGGAGCAAAAGAGAGAGTCAGTAATGAGATACTTGCGCGATTTGTGGAATAAGTGGCGTGGTGACATGCACAGGAAATATGTGAAAGAAAATTCATTGCAAGTTGCACTTAGAAATAAACCTATAGAAGTGAGTGTTGATGACTGGGATTGGCTAGTTAAGGAACATTATTTTTCTTCAAAATTCCAGGTATTAATCTCCTAATTTTATTAATTAATTTGTTCCATGTATATTGTTGGATTGTTAAAATTATCTTTTAATCTTGATGTATAGAAAGCAAGCCAACAAAATACACTTAACAGAGGCAAAAGAAAGATGCTCCACCACACGGGCAGCAAATCCTTTAGACAAATTGCGTGGGAATTGGTATACATTCAAAACTAATTTCTTATTTATTTATAACTACTTTGTTTTTTAGTTTGATGTTGTACTCATTTTTATTTAATATTTGAATAAGGGTGGCAAGTCAGGAAATCCACCTGATGTGGCAAAAATGTTTCATGAAACTCGAAAGAAAGCTAATGAAACACTAGAAAATGGGGATCAAGATAAATATGTAAGTAGAATATGTGTTTAAGTTTGATAATGATGCATTATATAGTACTAACATACGAATTTAATTTTTATAGGATGAAATTGTTCAAGTCAAACAAGCAAACCCTTCACTTTCTGACATTGAGATAGTTGAGAAAATCTGGGGGAAGCAATCTCATGGTCACATCACTGTATTTGGTGGTGGGACTACTTTGAAAGATTTGAGAGGACCGCTCCCTAGTCGATCTGATCTGGAAGCACGGGTTATAGAAGAAAAGAGAAAGAACCAGATGCTTCAACAACGCTTAGATGAGCAGGAGCAACAACAACAAAGGATGTCTGAGTTGGAGTCACAAGTGAAAGCTATGCAAGAACTTTTTTTTAGACAATCACCTTCATTGGCTCCTCAAACTCAAGAACGTGTGCAGGATTAGGTAATTATTTTTTGTAAAATCTCTTATATACTTTTATGATTGACTACTTGCACTAAAAAAAATATGATTTTTACTTAATAAGATAATATTTGCTTCATTAATATTTCTTAATTATGTGATTTTTTAAAATTTTTCAGGCTATCCATGCAAGATTAGGAGGGGGGTAGCTCGAGTCTTCTTTAATTTGACGATGATTAGAGATGAAAGAATGTGTCTTCCACAAACTTTTATTTTAATTAGTTTTAGATAGTTTCATGTATTTTTCTTTGGAACGATTAGGATATTAACTCTTGTTATTAGTATTGAATATTTGAGGATGGTGTAATTTTATTTATTGATGTTATTAATGAATGGAATTTTTTGTTTTCCCTTTTATTCATTATTGGGTATTTTTAATATATTTGTGTTGTGAATCTTAGTGTCTGGTTGAGAATAATATGATAGTTGCCTATGAATGAAAAAATTATTATTGATGTATATTAGAAATTTGTAGTCTATAATGACGGTTTTATAAACCGTATTTTGTTCATCAACGAAGGGAAAGCACCGTCGTTGATGGGTTACTAATTACCCATTATGAGGACTTTTACGACGGTATCCAACCGTCATTAATTAGTCTTCAACGATGGGAAAATATCCCCGTAACTAATGGTAACGACGGGAAAATATCCCCGTAACTAACAGTAAATACGGAAAAATATCCCGTCACTGATGGTAACGACGGGAAAATATCCCCGTTACTGATGGTAACGACGGTGATAATTACCGTCGTAAATATTAACGACGGTAATATGTTCCGTCGTTATAGACTCTATAACGACGGGTAGTATATCCCTTCGTGACCCTTTAGCGAAGAGGGCTTCAACAACGGGTGACGAAGGGATTTTCCCCCGTCGTTAGCATACAATAACGAAGGTTTTCAGCTCTTTAACGAAGGGAAATCCCTTCGTTAAAGATGTAATTTCTTGTAGTGCAGGTATGTACGCGTCCGGATATTACGTACATTGTCGGGATGTTAGACAGATACTTAAGCTACCCTAGTATGGATCATTGGATAGCAGTCAAAAGGGTTATGAGGTATCTTCAGAAAACAAAAGATTACATGCTCACATACAGAAAATCAGAACAATTAGAGGTCATTGGGTATTCGGACTCTTATTTTGCTGGATGCCAAGATAGCAGGAAGTCTACATCAGACTACATTTATATATTAGCAGGAGGAGCTATATTATGGAAAAATATCAAACAGACACTAGTAGCTTCCTCCACTATGGCAGCTGAATTTATAGCTTGCTATGATGCATCCAATCAGGGAATATGGCTGCAAAATTTTGTCACAGGACTGCGCATTTTGAAAAATATGGAAAGACCACTAAGGTTATATTGTGACAATAAATCTGCAGTAATGTATTCCAATAACAACAGGAGCTCAACTAAGTCAAAACATATTGACATTAAGTTCCTGGTTGTGAAAGAAAGGGTACGGAGTGGACAGATATCCATAGAGCATATTGGGACAAACTCCATGATAGCTGATCCTCTTACTAAGGGATTGCCACCCAAGGTCTTTCATGAGCATATTGCTCATATGGGTGTGGTATTATTTGAGGATATTATGTTTTAGTGTGAGTTTGTATTTGTGGTGCTTTATGTTTGGTTGTATTGTCTGATCAGAATAAAGTATTCAGTTAAGACACTCTGCTATATTATGTTTGGTTTTGACCTCACTAAAGGAGGACCAGTTGAAAATAGACATATACTGATCACATTGCATGTAATTTTTATGCTGCATATCCTTGATTGATCTATGTCGTTTGATTGTATTGGTATATGTGACTATTGATGGGTCGAGTCATGATAAATGTGACAAAGGCTGCTTTGATCCTATATTGATATAGTCAATGGACGAGATTGTTTGGAAATACCTTTTCAGTGATAGCAATTTTGAGCTCGTAAGGTTATACACAATTTAAGAAATCATATGGTGCCCAAGTGAGAGATTGTTAGATTTAATCTAATAAATCTAATTATGAGCACATATAATTAATCAATGTGTATTGCTATCTTTTAGGATAACCCACTAAAGTGATCAATCAAGTTTTTTTTGGTCAATGAAGAATTATATTCATTTACCAAATGGAAAGTATTTGTACATCAGATATTCAGTATATGAACTGAAAAATCAATTAAGAAAACAACTAAAATAAAGAAAAACTAAGATCAGTTAAGAATTTATAGTTGATTATAGTGATATAAGCCATTCTTTTTTCCCCGCTGGATATGAACCATTAAGTATGATGGTCATGATATCAATCTTGATCTCCTTGATGAGTTGTTCTATACTCCTGGATTTCATTTCAAATAGTCTGTTGTTGCGTTCCCCCCATATCCTGTAGATAGTAGAAGATAATGACATTCTTTTCACCTTTTGCTTAAAGCCCCTTCCTCTCAGCCTGCAATTAAACCAATCCAGCAAGCGATTCCATTCACAAGTCTTCCAATCGAATTGAAGCCAATTCATAATCTCATTCCAAACTGCACTCGTGAAGCTGCATTCAAAAAAGAGGTGGTTTCGGGATTCAACAACATTATCATTGCATAAGCAACAGAGGCCAGTGGTGATGATTCCTCTTTTGAGCAATCGATCTCTTGTAAGTAGCCTGTTCTGCACTGCAAGCCACAGAATGAAACAGTGCTTTGGGTAGCTCATATTATCCCACACTGTTATGAACCATGGGACCTTAGTAGCTGCTGGGGAAATTTTTGAATAAAGCTTAGATAGACACACTTTTGAGTTTCTATGACAGGAATTGATAATTTGCTTCAAAGCATCTACAGTTCCGCAATTTGCAATGACTTTATCCCTAACTTTGAGCAGCTGTTTCCATAGCCATGAATCACCTTTTCTCACTGCAACTTGCCAAATTGATGTATCCTTTAAGTAGTTTCCATGGATCCATTTTATCTACAATAACTCTTTGTGTATATGTATATACCAAATGGTCCTTAAGGCAGAGGCTATGCTCCATATGTTTGCAGAAAAAATCCCCAGACCTCCATGTTTCCTCTCTTTACAAACTTTATCCCAAGCAACCAGTGGTGATTTAAACACTAGATCTGTTTTACCCCAAAAGAAATCTCTACACAAATCATCAATCTTCTGCAGGACCCTTACTGGCAGAATATAATTTGAAGTCCAAAAAATTTGAACACACAGAATAACAGTTTTTATGACATGAAGTCTACCAGCATATGACAAATGTTTCTGTTTCATCCAGATTTGAAATTGATTGGATATTTTCTAGAAAAGAGGAGTGCAGTCCGTGTATGATAATCTCTTGCAAATTAGAGGAACACCAAGATATCTTATAGGGAAGATACCTTCAGGAAAACCCAAGCTTTCATGTATTAAGGCTTTAACAAAATCCTTAACTCCTCCATAGAAAATAGAACATTTTGAGAGATTTGCTTCAAGGCCAGAAGTGACTCCAAAATCTTTGACACACTGATATAATTTTTGGATTGAGTAAAAATCCCCTTTACAGAACAAGAGGAGATCATCAGCAAAGGTGAGATGTGTAATCTTGAGCTTACCACACTTAGGATGAAACTTGAACTTCTTATCATGTTTCAGCATATTCAAGTTTCTTGAGAGGTAGTCCATGCCTATAATAAACAGATAAGGTGACAGAGGATCTCCCTGCCTCAACCCTCTTTCCCCTTTGAAGTATCCATGCATAGAGCCATTAAGAGAGATAGAATATTTAGGAGAAGAGATACATGCCATAATCCAGTTGGTAAAATCATTAGGGAAACCCAATCCTTTCAGCAAGCTCTCTAGGAAATCCCAACTGATTGTATCAAATGCTTTCCTTATATCAATGTTAAGCATAGATCTTGGGGATATCTGTTTTCTTCCATAATTCTTCACAAGCTCATGTGCTAACAGGATATTATTTGAAATTTTCCTACCCTTAACAAAAGCACTCTGAGCTTCACTGATGATAGAGCCAACAACAGTTTGTAGTCTATTTGCAAGGATTTTTGAAATAAATTTGTATAGACAGTTGCAACATGAAATTGGTCAAAAATCTGCAGGAGTTTGAGGACAATGTACCTTAGGAATGAGGGTAATGAGGGTAATAGAGGTAGAGTTTACAGCTCCAAGAAGTTTTCCAGTTTTGAAGAATTCTTCAATTGCTGAAGTAATATCCTCCCCCACAATAGGCCAAGTAGATTTGTAAAAAGAGGAGCTGTAGCCATCAGGTCCTGGAGCCTTATTCTCTGGAATAAAGAACACAACCAGCTTGATTTCCTCTTTTGTAACAGGACTAGATAGATTCCTAGCTTGAATATCAGTAAGGCATGGTCCACTCTGGATTATGTTAATGTTAGGCTTGGTGGTTGAAATAGCAGTCCCCATTAGATTCTTGAAATAAGAGATGAGTTCATCAGCAATATCATCACCATCAGTGATTTTTTCCCCCAAGCTGTTATAGAGGACCATAACTCTATTATGGTGTCTGTTTGTCTTTATAACAGAATGAAAAAACTTTGTGCTTCTATCCCCCTGAAGACACCATGCAACTCTTGCTTTTTGTTGATAGAAGGATAATTCACATTCCAAGAGCTTGTTATAAGAGTTAATGCACTCTTTTTCCTGATTAATAAGAGTGGAATTAAGAGGCTCAAGTTGAAGCATATTTTGGACATTCTCAAGCTCAGATTTGGCTCTGAGGACTTTCTCACCGATATTGTAAAAGCTCCTTTTGTTTAGATCTTTTAGTGCATTCCTTAGAAGCTTCAGCTTTGTGTGCACTTTGAACATTGTGTATCCTTCAATGGGAGTTTGCCATACTGCTGTAACTGTAGGGAGAAAATTTTCATGCTTGGCTCACATTCGAAAAAACCTAAAAGGTTTTTTTACCTTTGACATTATCCTCATATATAGACACCAGGGCAGGAGAGTGGTCAGAGAAATAAGGAGATAAGAATTCAAC